ATAAAAAAATTATATGTATATAATATATGGAAATTGATTGTTTGCTGCGACTGAATAGCAATAAATGTGTGCGGCTTATCTATGGGGGCGCACCTCTAGATGGACGCTAATCGGACGAGTTCAAAAACCCTACTCGGAACGGCAATCGGTTGCGATACCTAGGCAAAAACCACTTTCGATAACGATAACCCAATCGAACTGAACGCAACGTGCTCTCACTTACTAGCGCTAGTTATAGTATGCGATTAAGTACTCGCATTTTTTATGGGTATTTATTGTTTTTTTTTTTCATTTTGTTGTGCTCTCATGCTAAGGTAGTACGTCAATGCTAACTAGAAAAATTCATTCATTGCTCTAATCAGGCGCAGCCTTATTAAGTATATACTATATATACATATAGACATATATGTTCTTGTTCATTGTTGTTGTTCCCACTAGCGCAGCTGCCGCACAGATAAGCACAAGCCTAGAGAATTGGGTCGCAGTTGCTATAAAGCAGTTAGGCATTTATTATTTTCTGTTGTCTTCTTCTTCTTCTGCTTCTTCGTTTTTCTGCTTAAACATTTTCTTTTTGTGGCATCGTTAATAAATTTTGGTTTGTTTCTGCTTTATCTTTTTGATTCTGCAAACAGAAATGTGTTTAGACTGACCTCAAAACAAGAAGGCAAAAAAAAAAACAACTCGAGCATGTCGTTTGTTGTTATTTTTGTTTACGCGTCGCCACAGGCGACAGGTGCGTCTTTATATGTATATATATATATATATATATACAGTATCATATATAGTATTTATATATAAATATTTCCATGCTGACGGCGGCATTTTGTCAAGTTTTTAGCGGCCAACAATTCGTTTGAACATGTCACTTTAAAAGCTTGTTGGCCCCGCAACAGGCCAGCCCAGCCCGGCCCAGCCCAACTCGGCCCAGTCCCATTCTTTAGAGCCAATTATGTGCGCTATTATGGCCAAATTCTCGTGTCACTCAATGCATGAAACGTTCGTGAAATACTTTCACAAATTAGCGGTGTCTGTGCCCGAGATATACACACACACACACGTACATATCTAGATGTTATATCTTATATGTATATATTTTTACTTTGACTTGATTATTCTATTAGTGCGCTTGTCACAGCTCCTCGTGTCGCCGTCTCTGTCTGTCCCAGTCTGTCGGATTGGCGCCCACCTACGTTGCTTTATAATTATAGCAAAAGGCTACTGTCGCCTGCAATTAGCGTTGCCGGACCTGCTGGACGCTCAATGCGTTTTCTCTCGCTTTCGCACACTGTCAGCAACGTTTAGCTTGATTTGTGCTTTGAAGCGGCTGCTGTGTTTGTGTGTGTGTGTGTGGTCCGTTGGTCTGCTGCATGGCATACAGTTTCCGGCTAGATTTTTTTTGGCTGATTTTACAAGGCACGCCTTTTGGCTTGATAACAAGCCAACCGCCGATAAGCAGCAACTGCCGTACAGGGCATTAACGCTCATGTGTGAGTGTGTGTGTGTGTGAGCAGCGCTTGTGTGTGTCAGTGACATCATTGTAAGCTCAGAATTTGTGTGTGGAATTCTGGCTTAAGGTATAGGCGACGCTCTTAATTGGCTGCCATGAGCCGTAGAATTCTTTTGAAATTTTGTTAATTAGCCAAACAAACTGACAAACTACACACACACACACACACACACACACACACACACACATGCACACAAATGTGTAGCGAATTTCGGCGGCTTTCAAGCTGTTCTTCGGCCTAAGCATTCGTACTTTGAGCTCTTGTGGGAGCCCTGCCAGCGCGAGAGAGAGAGAGGGATAGATAGGGGCACGTGTGTGAGGCTAATCTAAAAGCGCAAAGGTTAAACGCACTAAATCTCTTGTGCTCCATGGAATATACATACATACTCTTCATTTGAATGAATCAATTTCCAGGTCAGCCTTAAGTGCATCCTTAGCTCTCAGCCAGGCACTTGAGTCATCAGCGATGATGTTCCACGCGGTGCCAGGGCATCTTTGTGTGGCCATTATTAACGAAAGGTAGCTACAATTGGCATTTCCGCTCGCAGCACATGACGAACAGTGCATGAGATTCAGTCTGACGCATGCAATAATATTGTGGCTTACCTTTTGTAAAATGGTGTACAGTTATTTGTGCGCTGTATGGCTGCCATTTTATTTTACATTTAATTGATAACAATAAAAATAACAACCGCACTTGTGCGACAACAAAGCGTGTTCATAATGTCCACACTGTACTTAAACAGAGGTGGGCGTATTTACTCTTTGCTCTTTCCACACACTGCTGCGGCTCATGCACATACCACACACACACACATACATATGTATACATGTGGAGCGACAGAGAGAGCAAGAGCGTAACTTCACGCCGTGACGAGGCGATAGCAATAGCGATAACGAGTTTTGCTTTATGTGTGTGCGAGCGCAACAGGTAGACGTAGCCGTTGCCGTAGCCATGTTGGAGAGCATGTTAAAACTCGTTCGCTTTTTCTGTTTTGTTGTTGTTGTTGTTGTTGTTTTGTTTTGTTCGTTTGCTTGCTCGCTCGCTCTCGCACCTGCAAATGGCGACTGCTTTGGCTGCGGTGACGTCAGCGCACAAATCAGATTTATATCAGTAGTTGAAAGAACAGGTAAAACAACATGTCTTAGCCCTCCCCTCCCAACTCATAACCAGCGGAAGCGGAAATTTATGTTGCTGCTCTTCCGCTCCATCAGCCGACGCCAGCCGGCGCTCACATTTCACTCAAAGCGAAAATCCAATTGTAGTTTAAAGTTTTTCACTTTAGAAAAACAAAACAAATTTTCCCCAATGATGTTGTTGTTATTGTTTTTTTTTTTTTTGTTTTTAATGAGCAAACGGCTGTTAAACAAACAAATTAGGCCTAAAAACTGGCCGCGCATAATTATTGGGCGTATTTTGTGTTTTTTTTCTTCCACTTGCTATACAAATAAACACAATGTCACCGTTAATGTACAAACTAATTAGACTGGAGAGAAGCCGTTAGCCGAGGCCCATTTATATTGCTTTTTTGATGACCCTGGGCTGCTGTATACCCCCCCCCCCCCCCCCCCCCCTCCACCACCCTTCTATTATTACTATAAGCTTGTGATCTCATGTCAAGAGCTCATTTTTAAATTAGTTTTGTGTTGAAATGACTAATGACTGGTCACACTAAAAGATATGCACGCATATACACACACACACACACACACATATATGTACGTATGTTAATTGAATACATAGAAAGCTGCTGCTGAGTAACCTATCAAAGTCCAAGCCACGGCAAGCGCACTCTCTTACTTTGCAAAGCCAGAGAATACGCGTCATGCAAGTCAAGGTTCAGCAAAAATAAAAAGAGCGTAACAGTGCCTGTTACACATGCACATGCACATGTGTGCACATGTATGTTTGTATGTGTGCATACAGCAGGCAGATTTTATAGCGTATTGAGCAGACAGATTGAAAATTGATCGCTGATAAAAAAGTGCAGCAACGGCACCGCACCAACGACAATGTCATGAACTTTACAACAATAACAGTCTGGCGTGTTTTATATTTATTTATAAAGGGAAACAAATAGCTGAGGTGAGCTGCACTGCAGCAGCAGAAAGTTCAACGGCAGCACGTAAACAACCGCATTGGCACGGTGTCGCGGGGAAGGGTGGGGCGGTGGCCTGCAACACGTGTTGCCATATGTTGGCCGAGTGAAAGTGCCGCAAATCTTTCAACGCACTGGCTAAGTGGAGCCCCTTGCGCCCAAACCTGTCAGTCAGGCGGCTTGTGCTTTCATTGTGCACCTTTTCCAACAGGGGCAACAGCAGCAACAACAACAACAACAGCAACAAAGTTGCATTTGATGCGTTCAATTTGTTGCCAAACAAATCAAAGACAAACAAACGCATTTCGTTTTGATTAGCATCAGCTGCTGAAACGATACGATCTGATTTGGTTTAGGTATTAATTCTTTTTTTTCCGTTAGCTTTTTTGTTTATTTCTTCACTTGCCGGCGTTTGTTGTTGTTTATGTTTCCATTTCTTATTGACGCTTTGTCGCAATATATCCCATTGAAGTTTTCTTTTAATTTATTTTCCATCATACCGAACTAGACGTGCACTCGACACACTCACTACAATGTGCGTGTATGGACTACTTTTAATGTTGTTTTTTTTTTTTTTTGCTTATCTTCTTTGCCTTGCCTACGCTTTCATTATTACACACATGCGTACTTGTCTCAATGACAGTTGCAAGCTGACTGCTATTTCACCTCAATTGCCACTGTCCTTTTGCCGTTGCTTCAGTCTGTTTCTGTCTGTTGTAGTTACAATTTCGTGATACGCGCAGTGCGCAGATCGCTAGAATTTTTAATTAAGTCTGATTTTTTTGTTGTTGTTTTTTTTTTTCAGTTTAGAGTTTTATACATTTAATCAGCTAAACTCTTTTAATCTGCTTGTTAAACGCAACAACGCCACAAAAAATAGCAAATTGTGTTGGTGCTTCTGCGTTTTTTCTGCTTTGCGGTTTCGGTTTTGCTTTGCGGGCTTTGAAACAAATAAAAAAAACCGTTAGAATTCGAACGGCGCAGCAAAACAAATAAATACACACGATTTGTTGTTTTAAACAATTTTTATTACCTGTGCGTCGGTTTCGTGTGCGTGTGCGCGTTTGTGCGTTACGTTTTGCAAATGTATGCGTAACGAGTCTCAAAATAAAAAGTAGGCACAACAAAAGCTACAACAACAACTACAGCAACAACAACAATGTCAGCACTTGAGCTATTGACGTGCAGATTGAATGAGATGCTGAAGGAGCGCCAACAAGCACAAGTGAGCGTCAGCGTGAGCGAGAGCGAGAGAGTGCACAACAGCGTAATGGACAAAAGCTGCACTGTATATAATTGCATTTATGTCTTATTTGAAATCAATTTAAAAAACAAGGAATTTAAAAAAAAAAACATTTACTATATATTCTGCCGCCTCTCTCTTCTCTTTGCAGACCTGTAAAATATGCCACAAGGCCTTTGCGAACGTTTATCGCCTGCAGCGTCACATGATCAGCCACGACGAGTCGGCTTTGCTGCGCAAATTCAAATGCCTTCAGTGCGACAAGGCCTTCAAGTTCAAGCATCATCTGAAGGAGCATGTGCGGATCCATTCCGGCGAGAAGCCTTTTGGCTGCGACAACTGCGGCAAGCGCTTCTCCCACTCGGGCAGCTTCTCCTCCCACATGACCTCCAAGAAGTGCATCAGCATGGGCCTCAAGCTCAACAACAATCGCCAAATGCTCAAGACTCTGGACAAAAATGCCAGCGCTGGACGCTCCCCAACAGATCAACAGCAGCAGCAGCAGCAACAGCAGCTGGCGGGCAAACGTTCCTGCAAGCTGCCGGAGCCGGTGCTGCCCAATCCGATGAATTACTTTGCTGGCGATGCCCAAGCCGCACCGACAGCTGCCAATGCTCCCGCGCCCTTTTATCCAAACTATAGCGCAATGAATGCGGCTTTGCTGGCATTTCCCAATGCTTTTATGGCCGCAGCGCTGGATCCGCGCATGCATCCCTACAGCATACAGCGACTGCTGGAGCTGACGGCTGCCGGTCAGCAGCAGCGGGAGGAGCAGCAGGAGCGCCTGGAGCAGGAGCATAGAGAGGAGCAGCCGCTCTATGAGCCCAGCAAGGATGATGATGAGACGCCCGATGAGCCCAAGCTGGTTATGGATCTAGAGGAGTCGGAGCCCAAGCCAGCGGCCACGGCCGAGCTGCCCGCCGCAGAACCACTCGAAGATGCCGCCGCCGTCAAGCAGGAGCCCAGCCGCGAGCCGACGCCACCAGACACACCCAAGTCCATAAAACTAGAGCAGGAAGAGCTGGAGGCAGCGCCCGTGGAGCAAACGCTTGCGCAGACACCCCAAGATTTGCGCTGCAGTCGCTGCGCCAAGCAATTCAATCATCCCACAGAGCTGGTGCAGCACGAGAAGGTGCTGTGCGGCCTCATTAAGGAGGAGCTGGAGCAGCACTTCCAGCAACAACAACAACAGCAACATCAGCAGCAGCAGCAGCAGCAACAGTCGAGCTTTGCATTGCTACCCTCGGCAAGTGATGCGGACGAGGATGACGAGGAGGAGGAGGAGCCACGTCAGGATTACCATGCCGGTAGCAGCGACAGCGGCGAGCGCAAGGTGCGCGTGCGCACCGCCATCAACGAGGAGCAGCAGCAGCAGCTGAAACAGCATTACGCCCACAATGCGCGACCCAGTCGGGATGAGTTTCGGCTGATAGCCGCCCGTCTGCAGCTGGATGCGCGCGTCGTCCAGGTCTGGTTCCAGAACAATCGCTCACGTGAGCGCAAGCTGCAGAGCTATGCCAGCAGCGGAGAGCCCACGGCTGCCGCTCCAGCATTGCCACAGCCGCGTGCTGGCGAGGATCAGCCGCTGGATTTGTCCGTTAAGCGCGATGCCTCCCCCCTGTATGGCCTGCCCCCTCAGCCGACAGCTGCACAGCCCGCGCCCGCTGACTTTCAGGAGACCATGGCCATTAATTTGAGCCGCAAACTTTCCAGCTCGGCCTCCATGTCGCCGGCATCGCTGTCGCCCTGCTCGGGCGCCTCCTCGCTGCAGCAATCGGCCGCAGCTGCTGCTGCCGCTGCAGCGCTTTATTTTGCGCCCCCCTCGCCACCCGGCATGCACGAGTCAGGGCATACGTTGCCAACGCACAGCGCAGCGCCGCGTGGTCAGGCGTTTCCCGGCCTGCCGCCGTACATGCTGCCGCGGCTGCCCATGGAAGCGCTCTTCCAGATGCGACCCGGCGGCGACTATGCGCCCAATCCGCTCATGAACAGTATTAAGATGCCCGACTATCGCGGCACCAGCCTCAGTCCCGGCGGCTCCGAAAAGCGTTCGTGGCGCGACGATGATTCGCGCATCTCGCACGAGGACGACTATGTGCTGGCGGGCGGCGGTCTGTTGCCGCCCAAACCGAAGCGCGCCAAGGCCGAGACGCACGGGCATGCCGGTGATCCGGATCTGCCCTTTGTTTGCGATCAGTGCGACAAGGCGTTCGCCAAGCAGAGCTCCCTGGCGCGTCACAAGTACGAGCATTCCGGTGAGTCAGACATTTCAGGCGAGGCACAAGCAACCGCAGCTAATCCCAGTTTATATTTGCAGGTCAGCGACCCTACCAGTGCGTGGACTGCCCCAAGGCCTTCAAGCACAAGCATCATTTGACGGAGCACAAGCGTCTGCATTCCGGCGAGAAGCCGTTCCAGTGCTCTAAATGCCTGAAACGATTCTCCCACTCGGGCAGCTATAGCCAGCACATGAACCACCGTTACTCCTACTGCAAGCCCTACAGGGAATAGGTAAGCGACACCTCAGTGCCGCCCACCTGCGTCACAGCTGCCAATGCCGCTGCCACGGGGACAGCGCGTGCGCGCCGAGGCCCCGCCGCCCACTCGGCCAGGATGAGCAACAACAACAACAACAACCATCTGCAGCACCATCCGCACAACAGCAGCTATCCGCATCAGCTGGCCGCCATGGCGGCATTCCAACAACATCAGCAGCAGCAGCAGCAACAACAACAACATCACCACCACCAGCAGCAGCAGCAGCAGCAGCAGCAGCGACTGCAGCAACGTCTGCCCTGTCAGCCACTTGGCTGGCCACCGTCCGTGCCTGGCGCTGGCGTCATGTTGCCGCCACCGCCCAGCAACAATATGCAGCAGCGCAGCGCAGTGCCGCCGCAAGCAGCTACACCAACAGCACCACCGCTGCTTTCCGGGCCGACAACAACTGGTGTGTACGGCCAAGGGCCGCCAACACAGCCGCCGCCCTCCTTCTTTGCCAGTCCGCTGCACCATGCAGCGTTAATGGCGCCACCGCACCCGCTGCCCAATGAGCGCTTCGCGGCGCCACTAACGACGCCCACGGGCGTACCGTCCCACGGCGGGCATGCGTTCAGTTTCTTCAATGCGAAAATGTTGCTGAACTGAGCACAAATAACAGCAGCAGCAGCAACATTAACAGCAGCCGCATGCGAGCCAACATAACATAACATAAGTCTAACAGTGAACTAACAGTGCACTTAAATGTTGTACTTAAAACAGACGCAAAAATCTCAAATTGTGCAGGAACACAAAACACACACAAGACAACAACAATACACAAAGGAACATAATAATTTTAATAATAATTATAATAATGGTTATATACTCCAGATGCAACTGGCAGCCAACTGAGTAGAGCGCAGATGAAATATTTTTTATAGCCATATTTTGCCCGTGTCATTTTTTGTTGCCTCGAAAGTAAAAAGAAAAACCAAAACAACCCAAATATGAAAAGAAAAGAAAACCTTTCGTTTGAGCGAATTTATTATTTTTAGTTTATATCTTTTTGCATAATGTTTTTAGTATTTTAAATAATTTACGCTTAAGTTGAAATCAGTTTTTGTTTCATATATGAATATCGTATATATATATATATATATATATATAAATATGTATGTATATATATTTTTATACATTCGAACAATTTACGTTTAGTTTTTTAGAAGCGAAAAGAAAAACCCAGTACCAAGTGCTGCGAAATACTCAAAAGCTTATTTCTTTATCGGTTGCAACAGACACGTGCCACAATCATCATTTTATTAAATATTAACAACTATGCTTTATTATCGGAATAAATGTAAAACTTATTTGGTTTAATTATTAGCTTTAAATGTAGTCAAAACTGTCTGCCAGCAGGCTGTGTAAATACACTACATTTTTGGACCACAACAACAAACAGCAAACGTTAACTTGACAATATTGTATTTAATGAAAATTGAAAAACAAAAAAGAAAAAAACAACAACAACGCCGAGCTAGATGCTCTCTCGCAAAAGTATTAAACATCAGCCAACTGTATTAAAGCCAGAGTTTAAAAAATAAATACAAAACTTAATAAATTATGCCACACACCAAACACACACACACACACATACACACCATACACACACAAACAAATCTAACTTATGTTAATGAAAACCCACCGCTTGCTGCGCGTTTCAAGTTCATACTTAAATGGAAATGTTTTATTATAAAATACACAGCTATTTTGATTTGTTTATTTTGTATGAAAGTTGAAATATTTATGTAACATAATAACTACACGATAATCGACAGAGATGAAGTATATCTAAAGGAGACAACTATACGATCATTCCATTTAGCTAGAGTTGCGCTCGAAGAAGGTGCCCCGCCCCAAGCCACATGCCCCATGCCACATGCATTTAAATGAAGAACCTTCGGCTACTTGAGCGAAAAACTAAAACTCGATGTTTTGTAAATGTAATATGCTTATGTAAGTGCTATGCTAGGTTGCGTAACTCGAGCTCAAATTCATTAAAAATTAACATTTAATACAAATATTTAATATATATACACAGACTACACACAAAAACCTAAAGCTAAAGCGCAAAACAAAAACTTAATTTGGCCTTATTAAACATTATTTAACAATTAATTAATCACAAACAAAAAACTTATATATATAAGCTAAAACCGTTTACAAAAACCAAAAACAAACATTTAAATTTAGAAAGTTAACAAACAAAAAAAAAAACAAAACAAAACAAAAACAAAAACTTTTGGAAAAGTCTCTAAAGAAAACTATTAGCAAATTTCAATGTGCGTATTGATGTAAAAAAAATCCTTCTCAGAAAAACAAAAAAATCTATTAACATTAACTATTGAAATGTTTACAAGGACAATAAATTTCTAAATAATTAGAATGCTTTCAAATTTTTACTCCAAATTAATTCAATTTAAAATAATTTAATCGCATACCCAAAAAATTAAATAATTAAATCAAACAACAGCAATAAAATACGAAAACAAAAAAAAAAATAAATAACAGATTTAAATTGATGATAAAACGCGAAAAAGGTTTCCAGAACAACGAAAATTGTTTTCTAAATGTTTTTTTATTGTGCTATGTCTAAACAAAAGTCACACGTAAATAATTAAAAAACAATTTCTCATGTATCTACTGTTAACATTAATTTTCTTTTGCTTTTCCAAAACAAAAAAAAAAAAACAACAACAAAAACATGCATTTATTACTTAATTAATTTTTATATTTGTATTAAAAAAAAAAAACACAAACCCAACTTTATATATATATGCAAATATATATTTTGTAAATTATTTCGCAAGAAAAAAAGCTAGAGAATCCAAATACACAAAAAATAAAATAATAATAATAAAAACGCGCAAACTGCAATTCTTTCAACTATAAAAAAAAAATAACAAAACATACAGCACTCGTTTAGCATAAATTATATAATTAATAAATATATGAATTAGACTAGTTAAACGTACAGACGCGAAGTCTTTATAAATGTTAACTTACAAGAAAGAAGCGAATTAATTATAATTAAGCGCAAATATTTTAATTGTGATGCAGATGCCGGCGATAATATTTGCACTCTAGGGCCTTATATGAGATACACACACACACACACTTATACACACTGAATGAAACACACCTGTTAGTTATTTAAATTAAGCCTAATTAAGGTGCATATAGTGCATACTCTTAAGTTGCCAATCATTTTATTGTCCACCGCAACCTCTGTTAAAGTTGTTCGCCACAGTTTTCATGTAAATAAGCGTGAGAAATTTGACCATATTTAAATAGTATGATGATACTTGGGATCGGATCTGACGTAGGTTTCGCTACAGAGTATGTGCTTGTATTATTTGTTTTATGTTTTTACAAACATCTATGTTTAGTTATGCGTTGAGACACTGGCATCAAATGTTAATTGCTATACAAGTACACGTGAATTAAACACAACAGTTTAAATAACTTATATTTCAAATATTATGCATAAATGTATTTTAATCAAAATAAGCCAAAAGGATAAAACATTTTTGTCTTGATACATTTACAAAATTATTATAATTATTAAATTTACAATGTGAAAATAAAAAACAAAAAAAAAACAAACAGACAAATTATTAAACTTTAAGCTATTCAGCTCGTTTTAATCATTGCAAAAACTATTTCTATTTTGATGAACTGATCTTTTTTCAAGCCCCAGCAAATACTATTTAATATTTAAAATCAGTCCAGTTTCATGGAAAACGGAATTTAGCACTTGCTTTCGAAATTAATTAGCTGGCCTTTTGCAAAATATTTATTTTATTTATTTATTTATTTAAAATGGTCGACAAAACGAGTGTCTTCCTCATTATTCAAAAGATTGTACAATATAATTATATGCTAAAAGCCTAGTTAAAGGATTCAATTTTCTAAATAGCATCACCGACCGATGGAGGTGTTTTATTTGCCAGTCCGGCCAGCTGTGCCCCTTTTCACAGCTAATTTTGTCAGTGACGCTATTGGAGCCTACATCTAAGCAGAAGGTTGTAAGTAGGAAAAAAGTGATCTCAGGTAAAATTAAAAATAATCTTAATTTGCTATATTAATAAAGAAAATACAATAAATAGGAAAAAAGAAAGTAAGAAGATTGTTAATAAAGTAAAGCAGTGTAAGTTAGATAAAGAGTGTTAAGTAGATAGGACAAACATACACCCAATCTCAAAATGAAAATGTCAAAAACAACTACAACGAATTGCGTGTTGCTTTATTTTTGTTGTTTATATAACATATTTTTTTTTGCATTTTGCTTTTGAATAGGTCTACACATCATCCAAATGTTCGCGTTGTAGTTGCCAACCCTTTTTTCCCGACTTTTGTTGCTTGTTTTTTGAACTTCCGTCTGCCATGAAATATGTAGCTTTATTTTTGCTATATGAATCCAGTCGCATGGCTGTGAATCTGTATATGTGTGTGTGCTTGTAGGATATGCGTATGTGTGCCTTTCAATTGTCGCAGGATTTAACGCAGAGTACCTGTGTTAGCAGTTCATTTGTTGCCCAAATAACTGTTCATTTTGTTAATAGATTCTTATGAAAATGTCAGACCAGACGGCGCCAATCTAAAATCGCATTAGGCGGTCTGGAAAACTCTTCGCTTTTCAGAGTAAACAACACTGCATTTTTCGCGCGGAGTTATGTCGTTTTGGAACGTCATATCTCCGCGCGGAGTTATGTCGTTTTGGAACGTCATATCTCCGCGCGGAGTTATGTCGTTTTGGAACGTCATATCTCCGCGCGGAGTTATGTCGTTTTGGAACGTCATATCTCCGCGCGGAGTTATGTCGTTTTGGAACGTCATATCTCCGCGCGGAGTTATATCGTTTTGGAAGGTCATATCTCCGCGCGGAGTAATGTCGTTTTGGAACGTCATATATCCGCGCGGAGTTATGTCGTTTTGGAACGTCATATCTCCGCGCGGAGTTATATCGTTTTGGAAGGTCATATCTCCGCGCGGAGTAATGTCGTTTTGGAACGTCATATATCCGCGCGGAGTTATGTCGTTTTGGAACGTCATATCTCCGCGCGGAGTTATATCGTTTTGGAAGGTCATATCTCCGCGCGGAGTAATGTCGTTTTGGAACGTCATATCTCCGCGCGTAGTTATGTCGTTTTGAAACGTCATATCTCCCCGCGGAGCTATTATCCATCATACCGCGCGGAGCTATGTCGTTTTGGAACGTCATATCTCCCCGCGAAGCTATTACCCATCATACCGCCTGGAGTTAAGTCGTTTTGAAACGTCATATCTCCCCGCGGAGCTAGTACCCATCATGCCGCCTGGAGTTATGTCGTTTTGGAACGTCATATCTCCCCGCGGAGTTATGTCGTTTTGGAAGGTCATATCTCCGCGCGGAGTTATGTCGTTTTGAAACGTCATATCTCCCCGCGGAGCTATTATCCATCATACCGCGCGGAGCTATGTCGTTTTGGAACGTCATATCTCCCCGCGAAGCTATTACCCATCATACCGCCTGGAGTTAAGTCGTTTTGGAACGTCATATCTCCCCGCGGAGCTAGTATCCATCATGCCGCCTGGAGTTATGTCGTTTTGAAACGTCATATCTCCGCGAGGAGTTATGTCGTTTTGGAAGGTCATATCTCCGCGAGGATCCATCTCGTTTTGGAACGTC